TTCATTAAATAGAATACTGACAGGTGAAGTCAAATCTTTGGATTGATATTAACTGCAAAATCAATTATCAATTTAATCTTATTACCTTTATTTTATAATCATTCTTTACAATTATAAAACTGTGAAGTATAAATCTACTTTAATCCTGTACATTAGACTACCACTTTAATGACCCTTTGAGATCCGAAATGATCTTCAACTATAGGGCAACTGGTGTAACAGAGGCTATATCACAAGGATAATTAATTTAGTTATCAGAATTTACAATTACAAAACTATTATTAGAGAAATGTAGAACTATGTAAAGAAATTTATTTTAGAAATTTCGTTACAATAAAATGGGAAATTTTTATTTTATTGGTCCTTTAATATCTTCTTTTTTTTTAACTTTAACCTTTATTAATATTGTATATTTATGCAATATAATTTATACATCCGTTAAGTAAAGTGTCTGTAAAATATATATATACCTTCCTTGCTAAAAAAAAATGTTAGTATACCACGAAAATCTAGCAGCAAATCTCTTAAGAGAAGATGTTAAGGGTACACCATAGGGGTATGTCAATAACGAATTTTTTGGCGAAACTAAACTCGACCCTGCTTTATCATCCCGTGACTAATTTCTCTAAATTTGTTTACTCTATTCAACAGTTATTTCTTTTAATTTTTCCTAACGTAAACGTTACATTGTTCGAATTTGTTTGCTTATTTGAACGAAATATTTGCTTATTCGTTATCAGAGTCGTCTCTTCTTCCCTGCATTTTTTGTTTTCGTTCAATTTTTCTACAACCTTATCTTTTCCTTTGTTAATTATTTCTTCTTTGCAGCTGATCTTGGTAATTCAAGCACTAAATTCATTATTTAATTGGTTAAAATTTCCTACTACTTCCTTGGTTGGCATTGGAGAAACCACTGATATCTTGAGACTCGATAAAGCATCTTCAAATGTTCATCCTCTAAAGGAGGCAGTGCATTTCGGTCTATTGTCTTTCAATATCTTGGCTTTTTAAAACTTCCATCTTTGCCAATGATTTCGTCTTGTTCTTTAATCTGCAAGCCTTTACTCAGGTCTTCATTCATGGCAGATTCGTATGTGGAGTTAAACAAATCTTGTTCATTATTAAAATACATTAACATATATTTATTTTGTTAATTTTAATGATTTTAGCGAAATGGCCTCCATGATTTCGTCAGTATAATTTGCAATTCTATTCCATAAATTTGAAAAGCGGACATAATAATTTGTGAATATAATAAAGTTTCCTAGTTGTAATAATCAAAAAGTACTGAAAATATATTAGTATGTCACAAATTAAGTGTGAAAAATATATCGTCAACTTCTATAAATCAACTTAATTTTTTGCTCTTTTTAAAGATATCTATTAAACTTACAGTAAAATTTTCAATTATTAATTTTTAAGCTTTATTAGTAATATCCTTTTGATTTATCCTCAATATATTCACAACCTGTTCTAAATGATCATTATATATAGTATAAGTATAAATATTTAAGTTACTATAATAAAATAAAAATGATGAAAAATATCTAAAAACCTCTTCATTTGGGTAAGTATATTACTATATAATTCTTATTTTTTCTGTTAATAGAATTGTAAAAGTGTAACCTAAAATCTAATATTTATAGCTCAAGAAAGCTATGATCGGAATGTCAATTATTTTGGCCAAAATTAACGTTAATGTTGGCCAAAATGATCAACATTCTGATCATTCAAGTGAGCCAAACGATTTTATTTTGATCTGCATTGTACAGTATGACAAATTTATTGAGTAAGTGTTATGCTTAAAGAAAAATGGCGTAATTATTATCACATGATTTCCAATTCGATTTAAATTTTGTGATAATCATCGCATATTTGTGTAATTGTTTTGACACCTTCTTTAATTAACACCGATTATTGTTTGTTTTTAAAAAAACAAAAAAAATCCTAAATCATGTCATCTCAAAATGATATTATATGTGAAAGTTGTAATAAAATATATACAGATATTGATCATGAATGGTGTAAACCATGTGTAATAAATAACTTAAAAAAAAATATCACGAACTGGACTAGTGGAAATGAAAATATTAATAATTTTATTCGAAAAATGCAATTAAAAATTAAAAAATATGATGATATAATTGTTGAATGGATACCTTATAACCAATTCAATAATGTTAAAAAAATAGGTAAAGATGGCTTTGCTACAGCAATATAGAAGAATGGTTCATTAAAATACAATTATGAAAAAATAAAATATGAAAGAGAACCTAATAAAGAAGTCACTTTAAAATGCTTGAATAATTCTCAAAATGTTATCAGTAACTTGCTAAATGAGGTATGAAACTTCTAATTTTTGTAATTTAATTCTTAAAAATACTTTATTTTAACAACTTTTATATTTAACAGGCTAAAGTATATTCCTATTATGAATATAATATTCCCAAAATATATGGAATATCCCAAAATCCAGATACAAATGATTATATTATAGTATTTAATAATAATAGTTGTTGCAAAGAATGTGGTGAAATATATACAGATATATGTAGAAAATGGTGTGAACCATGTGGAATAAATAATTTAAAACAAAATTTTACAAACTGGACTAGTGGGAATAAAAAAATTGACGAATTCATCCAAGAAATGCAATTGTTAATTGAAAGTCATAATGATATAATTGTTGAATGGATACCTTATAACCAATTCAATAATGTTAAAAAAATAGGTAAAGATGGCTTTGCTACAGCAATATGGAAGAATGGTTCATTAAAATACAATTATGAAGAAATAAAATATGAAAGAAAACCTAATAAAGAAGTCACTTTAAAATGCTTGAATAATTCTCAAAATGTCATTAGTGACTTGCTAAATGAGGTATAAAACTTCTAATTTTTGTAATTTAATTCTTAAAAATACTTTATTATAACAACTTTTATATTTAACAGGCTAAAGTATATTCCTATTATGAATATAATATTCTTAAAACATATGGAATATCCCAAAATCCAGATACAAATGATTATATTATAGTACTTAATAATAGTTATTGTGAAGAATGTGGTAAAATATATACAGATATAGAAGCTAAATGGTGTAAACCATGTCAAATAAATAATTTAAAACAAAATTTTACAAACTGGACTAGTGGAAATGAAAAAATTGATGATTTCATTCAAGAAATGCAATTGAAAATTGAAAGTTATGATGATATAATTGTTGAATGGATACCTTATAACCAATTTAATACTATTAAAGAAATAAGCTTTTCTAAAGCATATTTAGCAATATGGAAGAATGGTTCATTAGAATATAATAAAGAAATAAATTATGAAAGAGAACCTGATAAAGAAGTCACTTTAAAATGCTTGAATAATTCTCAAAATGTCATTAGTGGCTTGCTAAATGAGGTATAAAACTTCTAATTTTTGTAATTTAATCCTTTAAAATACTTTATTATAACAACTTTTATATTTAACAGGCTAAAGCATATTCCATTAAAGTAAATGAATGTAATATTCCCAAAATATATGGAATATCCCAAAATCCAGATACAAATGATTATATTATAGTATTTAATAATAATAGTTGTTGCAAAGAATGTGGTGAAACATATACAGATATATGTAGAAAATGGTGTGAACCATGTAGAATAAATAATTTAAAACAAAATTTTACAAACTGGACTAGTGGGAATAAAAAAATTGACGAATTCATCCAAGAAATGCAATTGTTAATTGAAAGTCATAATGATATAATTGTTGAATGGATACCTTATAACCAATTCAATAATGTTAAAAAAATAGGTAAAGATGGCTTTGATATAGCAATATGGAAGAATGGTTCATTAGAATACAATTATGAAAAAATAAAATATGAAAGAGAACCTAATAAAGAAGTCACTTTAAAATGCTTGAATAATTCTCAAAATGTTATCAGTAACTTGCTAAATAAGGTATGAAACTTCTAATTTTTGTAATTTAATCCTTTAAAATACTTTATTATAACAACTTTTATATTTAACAGGCTAAAGCATATTCCATTAAAGTAAATGAATGTAATATTCCGAAAATATATGGAATATCCCAAAATCCAGATACAAATGATTATATTATAGTATTTAATAATAATAGTTTTTGCAAAGAATGTGGTGAAATATATACAGATATATGGAGAAAATGGTGTAAACCATGTCAAATAAATAATTTGAAACAAAATTTTACAAACTGGACTAGTGGAAATAAAATAATTGATGAATTCATTCAAGAAACGCAATTGAAAATTAAAAGTCATAATGATATAATTGTTGAATGGATACCTTATAACCAATTTAATACTATTAAAGAAATAAGCTTTTCTAAAGCATATTTAGCAATATGGAAGAATGGGAAGAATGGTTCATTAGAATATAATGATTATGAAAGAGAACCTGATAAGGAAGTCACTTTAAAATGCTTGAATAATTCTCAAAATGTCATTAATGACTTGCTAAATGAGGTATAAAACTTTTAATTTTTGTAATTTAATTCTATCTTAAAAATACATTATTATAACAACTTTTATATTTAACAGGCTAAGACATATTCCATTAAAGTAGATGAATGCAATATTCCTAAAATATATGGGATATCCCAAAATTCAGATACAAATGATTATATCATAGTACTTAATAATAGTTATTGTAAAGAATGTGGTAAAATATATACAGATATAGGAGCTAAATGGTGTAAACCATGTCAAATTAATGGTTTAAAACAAAATTTTGTAAATTGGACTAGTGGAAATGAAAAAATTAACAATTTTATTCAAAAAATGCAATTAAAAATCAACAATTATAATGATATAATTGTTGAATGGATACCATATTACCAGCTTATTAGTATTAAAGAAATAGGTAAAGGTGGATTTGCTACAGTCTATTTAGCAGTATGGAAAGATGGTCCATTAAATTATAATAAAAGGGAATACAAAAGGGTAACTAGTAATAAAGAAGTTGCTTTAAAATGCTTACATAATTCACAAAATATTACTAATGAATTTTTAAATGAGGTATGAAATTTATTTGTTTAGGCTTCATTAAACACTTCTGAATAATGATTGTTTTTACTTTTTGATAGGTTAATGCATACTCTATTAGTATTAATAATGGAATTCTCAAAATATTTGGTATATCTCAAAATCCAGATACAAATAACTATATTATTGTACTTGAATATGTAGATGGTGGAAATTTTAATAATTACAATAATTACATCAGTAGGAATTACACTTGGAATGAAAAATTGGTTGTACTAAGTAAAATTGGTAAAGGTCTTAAAATAATTCATGAAAATAAAGTAGTTCACCGCGATTTCCATACAGGAAATATATTGGTATCAATTAATAATAATAGTTATTATTATATATCTGAAAATCATTCAAGTAATATATATATTTCAGATATGGGATTATGTGGAGAAGTCAGTAATATAGACAAAACAAAAATTTATGGAGTCATGCCATTTGTAGCTCCTGAAGTATTAAGAGGAAAACCATATAGCCAAGCAGCAGATGTATATAGTTTTGGTATGATTATGTATTATATTGCAACTGGAAGACAACCTTTTGCCAATTGTGCTCATGATAGTGTTTTGGTATTAAATATATGTAATGGAATTAGACCTGAAATAAATGAACAAGAAGCACCAAAATTTTATATTGATTTAATGAAAAATTGTTGGGATGAAGATCAAGATAAGAGACCAAGTGCTATTGAAATAGTAAAATTGGTCAATGATCCTTATTGTTCTGTTATAGATGAAGAAATTAAAAAGCAAATTGAAAAAGCAGAAGAATATAAAAGAACAAATTTTTTGTCTACTAGAAATAGTCAATCAATTCATCCACAAGCTTGTTATACTTCTCGATTACTCAATCCATTTACACAAGATCTTTCAAAAGATGATACTAGTTGTACTGAATGTTTAGATTGCGTTATTATTGATTGAACTGAAGCTATTATAAATTACTATTATTTACTTATTTTTATTGAAAACTTATTAAATTACAAATCATTTTATAGGTAGGTTATCGAACAAATGAAAATAAATCAATTAGAACATGCATCTGCACCAAATAGAAAATACATTTTATGAAGTTTCATCTAAGAAAAAAGTGATGATTATAAATATAAAAGGTTGTAACACAGTTGTGATAAACTCATTTTCTAACTATAATTTGATACTAAATTCCTTATATCAGATAAGATGCAACAAACTTAAGCCTAATATTACTATTAATACAAATTTTATAATTAGGATATTATTTTTTTTTGTTGATATTGTTACGCGAATTTTTGCGCATGTGATTTCCGATATTATATGGTGATCCGATGAAATTCGGTACATTTGTGTACATGTCGATTTCCGATGTTATGAGACGATTTACGCCGATATATGATAGTTGCTGATTTGTGTATATCGGTTAACTATATTAAAGATATTGATTTTTTTTGATAGATTTACTTATATATCGTTTTTATAGTTATTTTATTTTATTTAGATAATTTATTTATATTATTTATTTTCTTTATTTGTATTGTTTATATATAAGATTTTATTAGAAGTTATTGTAGGGAAATTAGCTCAATAGTAATTAACCGTCTAAAATTATCATTTGTACTTTATTAAAAGTGGCTTATAATCGTATTGTAATTGTATTGATATATTACGAATCAATAACCCATCAATAGACATCTATAGATTAGATTTTGCCTTGATGACAGGAAAAAGAGATGACGGTTAGATAAAATAAGATATAAATACACCTTCCGCTAACTCTTTGATAGAGTAGTTATCTTATAGCTATTTTTCTGTAGTTATTTTGTCATTAAATATCTTTAAGATATATTTCCTATCCCTTTCTGTCACTTTTTATCACTTTGTTGTAAAGATCCGAATTTACACCTGTTTAATAAAATCGTTATATTTGGTCAATATTACACGTTGTTTCTAACAGTCATATAACAGTTGTTGTTATAACCATTGCGTATTATTTTCATTTATCGTATTTATAGTGTTTACCTTGACGATTCTTAACGAACAATACCGGAAGTACCTTGGATAGGTAGTATTGAGTAAGAATTTTGTTGGTATTCGTGTAGTTATACGATATAAGTCATCCGCCATTCGTCCCTTAATTACCGTCATTATTCGGTAACAATATCATTATATTTTGTTCAACACTAATTATAGAGTACTGTATATGTAATATTTTTTTTACATAAATAAAAAAATTAGTTTGTAATTGAACAAATTAAATATAAGTTTTGAAAATATTATTACTAACTGTAATTTTATGTGATTAAAATTTAGAAATAAGTTAATAATAAATATAAATGGTAATTATCAATTTTTTTAAACCTATTATTGACGAATTATTACTAATAATAGATTCAATAGTGTATTTATTGCTAACATTTTCTTTCAAAATAACAAATTTTCTTATTATGCGGTTATATTTCGTATATCAAAATTATTATACACTTAATTATTTAATTACAGATAAACATAGTGTCTCTTTATTAAAGATTTGGTTATGAAAATATTGTGACAATACTTATCAAGACGGAATGCAAAAAATTGACACTGTAATTTATAAAAATATGGTATACAATTTAAAATATATAATTTAACCTAGGCTGGGACTTTATCAATACTCTAATCAAAAAGAAAGAATTTGTTAAACTCTCGCCATACAATAAAATTATTATCTAGATTTTATAGGACCCCGAAATATATATGTAGAGGTCAGGTCCAGAAGTGGTCCAAAATACGCATTCTTTCAGGGCCGGAATTACGATAATTTCAGCCATTATCTAAATTAGGAAATATTATTTTGGCTGGGATTATCCATAAAAGGAATGATCTACATGATTTTTTTGACTCATTATACGCAAACTCTGACCTGACCCTTTTATGTATATTTCGGGGTCCTGATTTTATTCTTTTATTGCTAATTAAAGGTAATAAATAAATATTTAACAACTATATTAATATGCTTTGAATTATATAATATGTTTAAAAAAAATCATATATATAAAATATATTAATGTTTTTTTCTAATTATCACTGTTTTGCAAGTTCTCTTTATACGATATTTACTTGAAAAAAATTGGAGAAACTATAGTCCGGAAGCCAATATAACTTTCAACAGTATATATAAGCTTTAATTAAATTTAATTAAAGAATAAAAATTTAACAAAATTCTCATTATAAGTATCTTTTTGTAAATGTTTACCATAATAAAAAACTAAAATGATGCCGATTCAGATAATTTGGAAGCGAATGTACTTTGTACAAGCAAAAAAAAATATGTAGTATGAGAATTAAGTTATTTAAATTGTTAGATAAATTATACAAAATTAATACGTAATTTCATATAAAATTGCTTTGATGTGTTTATTAAAATATCAAATAAGAATATAGTGACAGAGAAATTTTTTATAAACTCATGACTAATTAGATGAAATTAAACCGAATCTATAACTAAGGTGATTTATAATGATATTAAAAAGAGCTATTATAATTAAGTAGCTATCTAAAAGTAATAAAATATTTCACTTTCTTTAAAATTTGAATAGTAAAATTCGCCTAACTTTAAAATCAATAATAAAATTATAATCACTTAAATTTCTTTAAAATATTATAGGAAAAAAAAGAAATAAATTTAAACCAAAGTTTTTACTTTTGGAAAATATTTCAAAGTATGGTTGTGAAACGGAACAATTCTTTATTTTTGGCTGAGTCTATAGTATTTTTCGATATAATGCATTTGTAATCCAATTCCATTTCCATCATAATTTGAACACGAAATCCTGAAACTATACTTATAATCCTGACGGTATAATATCCCGATATTCACCCGTAGTTACTTCTCGAAAAATCAAAATATCGAAATGTTATAATCCCAACACTTCATAAGTCCGAAATTCAAAATACGGAAAAGAAAAATCTTGAGATCGGTATTATGGTGGTACGGGATTACGACATTAATTTCGAGATTATGGCATTTGGATTAAGATTTCGTCGGATTTTGAGTGTCTGGATTTAGGATGACGGGATACAGAGTCCACAAAATTAATAGTGATTCTTTCAAAATCAGTTTATATATTTTCTTTTTAAGGTTTAATATTTGGTATACCATTAGAAAGGTAATTGAGAGTTCGTAGAGTAAACTTATATTCTTTACGTCACTCTCTTTATAAATGTACTGAATTTCTGTATGGTACATAACAAATAATGATCAAATTATTACAACATTATGCAACAAGCCCAAAAGCATTTTCAAGTAATGAATTGTAACATCTTGATTTTTGAATTTTTGAAGATTTTAAAATCATTAAACATATTTTAATTAAAATAATTAATAATTAATCATATTGATCGCAGATAAAAATTACCCTTTAGTGTAAAAAGGATTAAATGATTTTTTATTACTATTTTTAAATTAATTATTGCAAACGGGAACTTTTAAAATTATAAGATAGATTCATGATTTATTATTATTATTTTTAAATTCTTCACTAGAAGGATTTTTATGAATCTCAAGATGCGATTTGTAGTTTGACAAAAAGTTGTTTTTCATATGTGTGCGTATTAACAGATATTTACACACTACTAAGTGTCTTCCGCTACATCATGTATCCTCCACTATGCTTTGTATCTTCCGCTATGCTTTGTATTAAAAAATCATGACGTTTAGTAAAGATAATCGATGTAATTATTATAACTGTTAAAATGAATTTGACAAATTTCTTTTAAAATATTTGATTAAAACATTATTACGTATGAAAGTTTACAATAACAAAATGATTCGGATTTTTTTATTTCGAAAGAATTGGTATTATGAAATTCTTAAAAGCAATATTTAGGGCGAAACTAAATTATTTAGTCTACCAATTAGGTAACTATTTACCCAATTCAAACCTCAGCTTTAAGTATATCTAGAAATCATAGATAATAACGTTGTAAGCTTGCTGCCAATGTTTAACACTATATTAAAAGAAGGCAAAGCCAGTTTTTATTTGTAAATTTTTTGGAAAATTATTCTATTTTTAATAACTTTTGTCTTCCTTGGTGTCCAGATTTTGCACGGAATTTTTCCAAAGTTCAGAGATTATGTTCACAAAAACATTTCTTATACTTAACATATATAATAAAGTATTTAAAAAAAATAAGATTCACAACTTGATCCAATAATTATCTAATTAATCATATAAAACAAATTTTGATGTTAAATTATGATTGAAATTTCAAAATTAATAAATATTCAAGTATAATCAAAGATTTTAGCTTAAATGACATATTTCTTTTTAATATAATTGGAAAATTATTTTTTTTAAGTAACATATTCCTTTTCTATTTGCTTATCCACATCAATAACTAAAAGTCAATATAATCATATATATAAGAAAATATACCGTTATTTTATTGCTCCTTCTGAATTTTTTATTTCCCAAAAAAGATAGAAAAGTATTTGTTTGTTTATTAATTAGAATAATAAACATACTATGATACTAGCCCAGTAAATATGGCTTTGCTTTGTTATTTCATTAACTACATATACTGACAGGTAAAGGTAAAGTTTTGGAATTATTTTTACAATTATTCTTTACAATTATAAAGTTTGTGAAGTATAAATCTTTAATCCTGTACATTAGGAGTAATTTATCTATTAGGAAAGGACTAAAATTTATAATGAAAAAAAAATTTTCAGACATGGTTTTTATAAATCACCACGTGGTGATCATCACCGTACCAGCATTAGCAAATATCGGAGGGCAGAGTTTCATGTCATTTTTAATTCTGCCCAAAATTCTACCCTAATTCCGGTAAGATGACAGTGATATTTAGCTATACTATTTTATAATTCGATTTAGGAGAAATGAACAATATATACTACTAAAAGCGTGCCTATAAATATAATTTACAAAATTTAATACTAAAATTTAAGCGGTAATAATCTCATATTGTAATATTGTAATAGAAATAAATACAAATCAATACTATTCAAGTACATATAAAATAAAAATTTACGTAATGTAATTGTAAATCAGTTTGGTAAGCCTCAACTAAACAAAGAAATAATATATTCAAAGTAGACCAACAGTTATTATTTTCAGAAAAAGCCCAGTTGCTGAGTAGCCTGAGTAGCCTGATGACCAAAATTTTTTGCACTGCCGCATTTCGTTAAGAGAACGGTTACAGCTTACCTATAGTCTATAAAAATGTACAAATTTTACAATAATGTAAATAATAAAATTGTTCTATTAGTTTTAATAAAATAAAGTTAAACCTAAATGTATAAATTCTGAATTTTTCATTGAACTTTATAATCTCTTTTTCCAGCAAGAAGCTCTAACTTCTACTATTAGAAAAAGCAATAAACAAAATCATGTATCAGGAATTTTAACTATGCTACGCTTATAGATATAACTTTAATCGTCTTTCATGAGATCAAAAAGTTACTAAAGTTATCAATGAATTTATTTGAGATATTGTTAACATTTTTTCTCCAAAATAATAAAATTTGAATAAATATTTACCAAAACGATTTTACCAATTAAGTTTAGGAAATATTAAAAAAATTAATTTTACGTGAATTTATAGAAACGAAGTATACAAAAATTTATTACTTTAAACAAAATATTTATTTCTTTTTCTTTTATGAAAATTAATACTTCAAGTTTATCAAAATAAAAAAAGAGATTTTTTCGTAAACTCTCACTATACCATCTATGCTTTAACTTACATTATTAGTGAAATTTAACGGACAATAATAATATAAATATACTTAAAGAAACGATACAAAGATCAGCAAACTCTTTCACAAGTTTTTTGACTTAAACTTGAGAAAATATATCCAAATACTGAGTAATATATGTAATTTGAATTTAATTTTCAGCAACTGTTACTTAAAAAATATATATATATACCGCCTATACTATATAAAAATTAAAATGTGACGTCACCAGATGTTTTGCTTTTTTTCAAGCAAAAAATACTTTAACCTTTAGAATTAAATCATATATTATAAAGTGCTTTAAGACTTTGCATGTAATAATTATATAATTATATCAGGACCCAAAATATATATGTAAAGGTCAAGTGATTTCAGTAAATTATGTTTTTCAGGGCCGAAATTATGCTAACCTCAGTCAGTTACTAAAATAGTAATAAAATTTTGACCGGCATTATCTAAAGAAATTATCTAAAAAGGAATGATCAACACGATTCAAAATTCTCTCTACCTTATACATTTTGGTGTCCTATTATAATATAAAACTTCTTTGTATATTAGGCTATCAAATAAGGGTACATTCAAAAGAAACTAGCAATGAAGCTTTTTTCATAATTTGATTGCAGTCGATTATTGTAATACTACCAGATGATTCAGATCTAAAACGGGATGTTTTGCAGTTTGCACCAAATATCAAATTATCAATCGGTCTTTATTATGAGATTTTGTATAGATAATGAAAATAATATGCAAATTAAATATTTTATTAAGAAATTACTAATGTATACGTAATAGCATAATATATATTATATTTAAGTAATAAATTATTATTATTTAACTGTTTATGGTTATAACAAATTAAATAACTATTGAATATTTTATATTATAGTTATCTCTAGTATCTCCAATCAGATTAACGTTTGTTGCATTTTCGGTAAAAGCCCTGTTTCTGCATAGCCCGCCCGAATTTTGCCAAAAAAATTGCGCCACGCGTCACCTTTAGCTCTGCCACATTTTTGCATATATAAACCCCTTGTTTAATATACAATAAAAATCTGACATTCAAATTTATGAAATTATAAGATAAACAGTATTATTGCCATTAAGATAGAATGACAACTGTATTATTTGTATTATTTATAGCATTAACAACGGTGTCTGAACAATAACACAATTATTGGATGGATGTAAAAAATAATACAGTACTTTGTGCGCACACGCTGCTGTTTAGCGGTTGGTATATTTTTTGGCGAGTTTTTTGTATTTTACTGAAGATTATCATTATATTGTAGAAGTAAGTGGCTTAGTTAAGTTTGTAATTAAATTTAGTTTACAAATAATAAATTAGAAAACTGACTTTAATTGGTAACCGCTTTATTTTTTTTTTCACCAATTTTTGGGTTTTTTTTTTGTTTCAAATTTCTGTTTCGTTGCACAAAAAGATCAGCCAATCAAAAATGAATACCAGAATGAACAGGACTAATAAAGAATATCGTTTATTAACTTGATAAGTTAGGAACAAAAAAAAGTTCGTACATTAATTAATTAAATTTTTTTTTTCTTTTTTAGTGATTGTTGAAATATTTTAATTTTAATATATCATATATATATTTTTTTATAAGAATTTTAAGTAAAGGTGACGTTAAAAAATGTTTTTAAGGTGCATAAGTATAATAAATTCACAAGTTAATAAATCACATTTTTTGACATCATAATTTTTGATATTTTATGTAATATTAATTCTTTATAATATTTTGTTAAAATATACACCATTAATTTTTTTTATTATGACAATACTTTATTGTCCGAAACCATAACTTCTAAGCATTTTCAAATGCAATGTCGTTCTATTCCGCATGCTTATCGACCAATTAGATTTTGTATTTAATTTACGTTTGCCCTGTCATAACGTTAACCCCAGTTATGCTTCGGACCTGAACGATTTGCGTTCCCTAGTTCATATAGTAGTTCATAATATTAATATCATAGTAAATTGGAAAATTTAAATCATAAAATTGATTTTATTCGTAAAAAGCTATTTGTTCAATTACAAACTGATTTTATTTATGCGAAGGAAAGTTCACACATACTCTATAATCGGTGTTGAACGAATCAATATAATAGAGCTTTTAAATGTTCTTTAACGACAAATGTTTTTAAATATAACTATTTGCATCTTTTTCAATAATAAATAGAGTAATATTATATTTCACATTCTAAACATTCAGAATATTTCGGAAGATCATTTGTATAGGAATTAAGTAGTTGTGATGTATAAACAGCTTGTGGATGAGTGGGTGATTGTCTTCTTTCCTCTAAAAGTATGGTATTTGATTCTTTGTACTCTTCCGCTTTTTTAAATTGCTTTTCAATATCATAATGTTGTTGGTTTTTTTCTTCGGTTAACAAATGTGAATTTGGTACATATGATTCATGAAATAAATGAATCGATTCTGCTATTTCAGTTGCTTTTGGTCTATTATCTGGATTTAAATTCCAACACTTCTTCATTAAGTCTACATAACATTCTGGTACTTCTAGTTCATTCATTTTAGGTCTAATTCCCTCACAGATATCCAATGCTAGATTTTCATCATGTGCACAATAGGAAAAAGGCTGTCTGCTAGTTGCTATAAAATACATAATCATACCAAAACTATATATATCTGCTGCTTGAGTGTAAGGTCGTCCTCTCAACACTTCAGGTGCTACATAAGGCATAACTCCATAAATATTTTCTTCATCCGTATTATCAACTCTTTCACATAATCCCATATCTGCTATACACATTGAACTATAATCTTCTAAAAAAGCATACATTGATAATATATTTCCTGTATGAAAATCACGATGAACCATTTGTCTTTCATGAATTTCTTCAAGACCCTTTATAATACATATTAATATTTCTATATTATGTGACCAGTTAAGATTTTTATAATGTTTATTTATCCAGTTATATAAACTTCCGCCTTCTGCATAATCAAGAACCATAATATAATTATTTGTATCAGGATTTTGAGATATTCCGTATATTGAAAGAATTCTATCAGATTCATTAATAGAATATCCTTTAATCTATTAAAATACACTAATTAATTATTAATATATTTGAATGATTTAACTTGAATAAAATATTTCATACCTCATTTAAAAATCCAATAGTAATATTTTGTGAACCATATAATTGTTTTAAAGCAATTTGTTTCGGAGTTCTTATATATTCATATTTATTATAAGATAATGGTCCTTTATTCCATATTGCTGAATATATTGTGGCAAACCCACCTTTACCTATTTCTTTAATATTATTAAACTGGTTATATGGTATCCATTCAAATATTGTATCACCCGGATCATTAAGGTTTAATTGTATATCTTGTATTAAATTATCAATTTGTATATTTCCACTAGTCCAATTTGTAAAATTATTTCTTAAATCATTTATTTGACATGATTTACACCATTTAAAATTTGTATTTGTATATTCATTATCACATTTTTCACAATAATATTTATTTTCATAAACCAAAATATAATCTTTCGTAATAGGATCTTGAGATATTCCATATTTTTTACCAATCGAATATTCTTCAACCTATTAATATATTCAAAAATTATAATTATAATAATATAAACTATATTATATACTCAAAATAAGTTTATAGAAAAAATTACCTCATCAGTGATATTTTGTGAATACTTTAAAGTAACTTTTAATTTTAGTCTTCTCACATTTTCTTTACTATAAAGATCATCATAATATAAAAAGTCATTCTTCCATATTGCTAAATGTATTTTATTAGTCAAATCATCATTTACTTTTTTAATATCATAAAATTGATCGTATGGTATCCATTCAAATATTATATCCCATTTACTATTAATATTCAATTGCATATTTTGAATCAAATTATCAATTTGTCATTTTTACTGGTCCAGTTTTTAAAATTTAATTTTAGATTATCTAATTGACATTTTCTACACCATTCAACTCTAATATTATTTTCTTTATATTCTTCACCACACCTTTCACAACATAATTTATATTTAAAAACAATAATATAATATTTTATATCTTGAATTTGAGAAATTCCATATACTCGATTATCATCATCTGATAGATATTTTTCAACCTATAAAGTAAAAAAAAAAATAAATGAATTACATCATTATTTCAAAATATAATTAATATATATACTGTATATGAAAATTTTCATACCTCATTTAGGAATTCATCAGTATTTTGTAAGTAATATAATTTCAAAGAAACTTTTTTATTTGATTCTCTCGTCCATTTCTTTTCAGAATAAAGTAATGGACCATCTTCCCATATTGCAGAATATATCGTAGCAAGATTATTATTGTTTATCTCTTTAATATTATTAAACTGATTGTGTGGTATAAACTCAAGCATCGTGTCATAAAGATCATTAATTTCCAATTGCATTTCTTGAATAAAATCATCAATTTTTTCATTTCCACTGGTACAATTAATAAAAAAATTTTTCAAACAATTTATGTAACACGATCTACACCAAGCATAATCTGTAATATCACCACATTTTTCGCATATTTCACTATATTCATTTTGAAGAACTATAATATAATCTTTGGTATATATATTTTGTGATATACCATAAATTTTACCACGATATTTATTTATATCTTCTTTAATCTATTGGGATAAAAAAATAATTATTATTAAATTAATAAGTAAATCAAATTAGATATCTTATACCTCAATTAAAAATTCATCAACAATATTTTGGGAGTCATACGATTTTAGAGTAACCATAGTATTTTGCTTATTTCTTGTAAATTCATTTCTTATTTTATCATAATGTAATGGTCCATCTTTCCATATTGTCGAATATATTTTATCATTACCTTCTTCACTTATTTCTTTAATATTATTAAACTGATTGTATGGTATCCATTCAAATATAATATCATTCACTTTATTAATTTCTAGTTGTATTTCTTGAATTAAACTATCAATTTCTTCATTTTCACTGGTCCAGTTTGTAAAATTTTGTCTTAAACCATTTGTTTGACATGATTTGCACCACTCATAATTTGCATCAAATCTATTTTTATATAGATCGTTACATTTTTTACAATATATACATGGAAAAACCATAACGTAGTCTTCCGTATCTGGATTTTTTGATATTCCATATATATTAAGATGTTCATCAACTTTAATCTATTAAATCAACAAAAAAATTAATAAAGAACTATAATTACAAATAAACTTATATCTAAAAAATTCATACCTTGTTTAGAAATCCAATAATATTTTGTGAATTATAAAGATATTTTAAGGCAACCATTTTATTTGACTTTCTTATCCATTCCCTATCGTTATAACATAATGGACCATCCTTCCATGTTGCATAATACATTATACTATCAAAATCATCATTATCCATTTCTTGGATATTACTTAATTGATCATATGATATCCATTCAAATACTATTTCTGATTCATAATTAATTTTTGATTGCATTTCTTGAAATAAATTATCAATTATTTCATTCTCACTTCTGGTCAAATTATTTTTAAAATAATTTATTTGACAAGATTCACACCATTCTTCAATTATATTTGTATACTTTTTACCACATTTTTCACAATATATATCCTGAAAAACAATGATATAATCTTTTGTATTTGGACATTGAGATATTCCATACATTCTAAGAACTTCACCAATATAAGATATTGAATATTTTTTACCCTAATAAATTTTACAAAAAAAAAATATTATTATTATTAAAACCACGAAGGATAATTTTATAAATAAATTACCTGATCAGTAAAAAATTCGTTAACGATATTTTGTAAATTATATAATTTTAAAGAAACTTTTGTATTTTTCTGATTTCTTGTATATTCATATTCATATTTATCATAATCTAATGGTCCATCTTTCCATATTGCTGAATATACTTTATCAAAACCTTCTTCGCTTATTTCTTTAATATCATTAAATTGATCGTATGGTATCCATTCAAATATTATATCATCCAATTCATTAATTTCTAATTGTATTTCTTGAATTAAATTATCAATTACTTCATTATCACTGATCCAATTAGTAAAATTATTTTTTAAATTACTAATTTGACATGATTTACACCATTTATACTTTGCTTCATATTTGTTCTTATATATTTCGTCACATTTTTTACACTGATCGCAGTTGTCTTGATATGACATTTATAAAAAATTATTAATTAAATGTTGGAAAATAAATGCAGAACTTTTTTTACGAAGAAAGAAGAAAAGGAAAAGGAAAAAGAAAAAAATAGAAAATGGCAAACAAAGTTTTGTAACATGTGCAGCTATTAAGTAATACAAATAAACCATGTTTATTTTAGTCTAAACTGTTTCCGTCAATGATCAGCAATAAATACATATGACCTGCGGCTTAAACTCGCTTCAAAATAAATATTATCATAAAAATATTTATTTTATTGAAATCGCATCATGTCCACAAATTTATCAATAAATTATTCGCTAAAATGTCTGTAAAAAATTGTATATATATTTGAGAAAATACTAAAGTATGTATTGTTTGTGATGTCATTTATTTTATTTTAATTATTTAATTTTATTTTGCAGAGTTAAATTTCTAGTTGTGTTGGATGGGTAAGTGGATTATTTATTTATATTGTCGTACTTCTGATTGGTTCTCGAAACTTTTTTGTTATATATCGATAAGGATTAAGTAACCGAGATGTGTATATAGCTTATGTGTGAGTAGTTTAATTGGTCATTTTTAATTGATAAAAGATTTTCTTTTCTATATTCTTGTGTCTCATTAAATTGCTTTTCAATTCAACTTTCAGATAATCAATTAGTTTGTTCAATCCTCTTTTAGACAATATTTTATTTTTATTTTTAAAATGTAGACAATGACGGGAGCCTTACAAGTTTGTGGGCTGAGTTCTTACAAAAGGAAACTATTGCTAACACTGTACCCATAAAAACCCAACCTCCTCAAAAAAGGAATTGTACTGCTTATTATTGAAAATTACAACACTAGGCATTACCAGCATTGTACGCGAGCATTGAGCGAGAAAAGTGAAAAAAAACAAAAAAGAGAAATTTTAACTAATCTATCAACCGTATTTTTCTTTCGTCTAACGATGCCGCACGTAAATACTGTTAGGTGCGGAATGAAGGTCCGATATTGTCCGACGGCGGCGGACACGTACGAGTTATCACTGAGTGCTGTATGAGAGTCATTATCTGGTGGAGGTGTTCGTCGTAAAAAGATGGACGAGTCATTGATGATGGATCGATCCTTGTCTGATATGATGAAGAACGCGTCAGCGTTCGCTTTTTCGGTGACATCTTCGACAATCATAGGAGGTATTCTTTTCCGTAATTGATGTAGTTGGAATGCACGGGCATAGCCGTAATTATATTGTTTGAACTGACGTTAAAACATCGCCTAACTTTGTAATCAAAAAGTTTATTTTGTGATGCTGATCTTACTTAGTTGGAGAGAAGATAATTTAAAAAAAAATCTACACTCTATCACTTGTAACGCATCCGTAGTTCTATAGTGACGTACTCCAACAAATCGAAGATATTACTTATTAGATATGAAAAATAAAACCTATAATACACCGACTGAAATAAAATAATAATAAAATTAAAGGCGAAACTTTTATTATTTCTTTTTACAGTCTGTTAAACATAATATATGACGCATCCTAGACCATATAATGCAATATCATTCGAAAAATAATTGAGAGAAACTTAAGCCAATAAAATAATTATTTTATTTATTATGTATCAAAAATAATAAAAAAAAAAAAAGAATTGTGTGTGTGGACAGGGTAAATTTTTACATTTGCTACATGGTATTGAATAAATCTATTCCTTACAATAAAAACAAGTAGTAATTTCGACGGTAATACTACGGACGTATCCATCGGGATCTATAAAAATAAATATAATAATTAATCAACTATTTGGTACTACTGATATATTGATAATTCAATGTAAAGTAACATACGAGAACCCTCAGAAAGGTCATGTTTTGAACTTTGATGACCTAATGTATAAGTAATACCGGAAAATGCTCCTTCAGAGGTCTATTAATTACAATAATACAATAATACTTTACATTAGTATATTTATAAAACTATTACAAGATGTAAAAGGAATAAAGCATACCGTAATTTTCCCTAAAGACCAACGAACGATCTTTGATTTAGTATCATATTCGAAAGCCACAGATTGACCAGTGGCAAATGACGTATCTCCTGGAATAACAGATTTTAAAGCTCCATTATGACGATTACCAACTGTAGGTAAATTAATAAAATCGATCATTAGAATATCACAAAGATTAATATATATTAAATAAGATTTTCATACATTTATCCAATGCGGAACTTGATGTTACAGCCACGATTGAGCTTACATTAAAAGAAGAAAAATCTTCAAGACGGTTAACAAGAAATGTCTCGCCCTTACCTAACAAGGAGTTCTAGTTTAATTAGACGTGCGACGGCGCGAGTATCACGTGGACAACGTAAAGTCAATAACCAAAGACATACAAATCTTCCAAGTAGAGTCACTTGCATCATACTTATAGTCTAATACTCCGATTCCGTATAAGGCGAATTTGAAGACATTCCCTTCCGGAACTTTGACAGATTCTGGAATTTCTCCTAGATTAGGGAATTCTATATTTCATAAAAATATTGTGTTAAATGTGGGGATCAAACTTTAATATTATATATTACTGACTTACCGGCGTTAGCTCCAATTTGCATTTTTATTAGGGGGGAGAGGGTTAAAAATAATTTACAAAATTTTTTTTACTATTAAATATGAGGGAGGAAAAAGTAAAAAAAAAAAATAAATCCAAAAATTAGATTTATACGGTGAGGGGAATATTATATAAAATTTTTTTGATAAATTTGTGTTTATTTTTGGTGTCATCTAAATTTAAAATTTTTGAGGGGAATTTAACGTTAGTCAGCGCTATTGCGTTTGTGAATTTAAGTACAAAGTCTCACAAATACATCAACTGACCACTTTGTGTGAAAATAATAAAGATTGATGGTCGATCGAAAAATTTTGCGATCGGATCAGCCATCCCGCCCCGCTTCTAAAAATAGATTTTAAGTCTACTGTTTTTCACGGTCACGGGTTGGGACGGGTTTAATTAGTAAAATCTATTTCTAGAAGCGGGCGGAATAACTATTGAATAACTATTAAATCAATATTTGTTACATATACGAAAATATAAAATATACAAATAAGCAAGGCGGATTTGCCCGAAATTCCGAAATGGAAATGGGCGTGATGATCAGAATGTCGATCGTTTTGGCATCAATTGGCTATCCCTAAAATTGAAATGATCGACATATTGTTTCGGCCGGAATTATGAATTCGGCTAAAATTATGAATTAACTTCGGCAGAATTTCGGATTTCGGATTATTCAACTCAATTTCGGGGCCCATCCTTAATACCAACAAAATTTTAATTCTTTTATGATAGTCGTTAGAATTGAGGTTTATTCTGCGCAGATGTATCATTTAATGAGGCATTAACAGCATTATTTACTATGGTTCTTTATTCTTTGGAGATCCAAGGCTCTTCTTCTGTAACCTGAAAATAATAGAAGAAGCGGTTATGGGAAGTCAGCGAGAAAGTCATGGACTTTTTGGTATAATTCAGTGGACATTTTTTATAAAAAACTTGGTGTTAGAAAATCGTGAAAGAACAAGAAATATCCTAGCAAGTGAAGTATTACCTATATTGCCTTTTAAATGTTCTCCATTTGTGTCTTTCTAAACTTGCAATACGGACTATTACGTCAAAGTTGTCAAAGTTTGGTGTTCGAGAATAACGGCATGTGGAATGTGCGTTGGAGATCTTGACATTTATAAAGGCGTTGGGGACAATGCATATACGGACTTTTTTTATTTCACTCGTACTTCTCGATTGCCCAACTTTCTCATATATTCGAAGCTGGAAAAAATTTGGGAAGTCTCAATGAAGGCCCATTGCAAAAATAGTCATAGATCGAAGTAAATGCACATTTCAATAGTCATTATTCTGCTAAAGAGAAAAAAATTGAAATATTCTTATGTGATATTAATCTTAGATTTACTCTTTTTCTTCTTTCGAGGACTATTACAAGAATTGTATCCAGTCTTACTACAGGTAGAACATTTGTGTTGCGTCTTTTATGGCTTTTTTTATGGCTTTAGCGATGCACCTTTAACTGCTTTTTTTTAAGTTTCTTATTATTTACACATTTGAGTCACAGATGATTTGCGGTTTATCATTTATATATCTTAGAAAAATGCTTATTTTCAAAGATTTTCTGAGACACTGTCACACAAATATCTTGGTATAAATTCTTAAATTGAATGCATTATGATTAAATTTTATTTATAAGCATTTTATACTACAAAGCCAAGACTAATACTCTTGAAGGAAGAAATTAGAAATTAAGTAGTGAGAAGTCTCACATTCTTTTACGTTTAAAAAAATAAGAAATAAAAATCAGACTATCATTTTATTATACCTTATATAACGACATATTTTTTTTTAATTTATAACTTTATTTAACGGATGTTGTTTGACGTCTACATTGTTATAAATTACATAGCGTAAATATTACAATATTAATAAAGTATCTATCTACTAAATAGAACCACCTATCTCTAAATACATAGTAAACTAAATAAATCCTACATAAAAGAAAATGTTAGTTTCTCCAGATTGAACTGTGTTATCGGTTCGATACAGTTATCTCGATTAAAACCATAAATTATACCCTGTTATAAACCTATAATTTGTCAACCTATAATAGAATCTAACCATCCTTATTGTTATTAACGTTGATCTCTAATCTAAATCTAAATCTACGTCCGCATGCGTCATCGTATAACGATATATCAATTTTTTTTGTGCATGGAATTGTGCATTGTGCATGGAATAGAGTTTTTGTGCACAGAAATGCACACTATTAATTTAAATTGTGCACTATGAAATTTTTTTGTGTGCACACGTGCACATCCAATTTAGAAAATTGCATACTAAAAAACTTATGCACACGTGCACGTTGTGCACATGAATTTTATACACTGTAAGTGAGTGAGTGAAATATATATTATGTATTAAGAAATTTTTGCAACAATGAGGATTGATGATATATACTAATAAAGGCGTTTAATAATAATATTAATGATGATGATGATGATAATAAAATATTTATATTATCTTTTTCAGTCAGAGAGAATTTTAATATAATTATATAGTAATGGCTCTCAATAATGTATAGTTACACAATTTAGGGTTAGTATCAATATTAGGTTATGATAATTTTGGTATAACGCGATTATGTAAAAAAAATTAAATTTTTTTTTTATAAATTTTCACATGATTATAAAGGTAATAACACATGAAATAAATATTTAATACAATTCTAATATTTTTAAACAAATTTAAACTAGTTTCTGGTAATATTGAATTTGAAGACTCTGAAGAATTTGAAGAAAGTAGTATTAAGGAATCTAAAGGTATATTAAACATGCTAAAATATTACAAATATTTAAATACTTATGATTTCATTCATATTTTAAAATCATGCAGTTGGAAATATATGATTCACTCACATTAAAATAATGTAAAATAAGATACGTCCAATGTATTATATTAAGTTAGATTTTACAATTTAATATTCCAAGATTAGTTTATATCTTTAGCTTATTTATGGCAGCAGCAAAATATATTACTAGAAATGGAAACGGTTAAAATCTGTCATTCATAACTAAAGGACCAATAGTTATGCATATGATTTAGTTCAACAAAAATACTAAAGAAAATTATGGTTAACCTTTTTTAGTAATGATAATAGTAGTAATACTGATCATGACGGATAATGTAAATAGCAAATAAAAGTTTTAGCAAATCTATTACAATTATATAAAAATGCGATACATAGAAGATACAGTAGTAAAAATTAATCAATTTCAAACCATCATGTTAAGATAACTAACTACACATCTATTCCTAATAATTATGTAAAATTCGGAATGTTTGTGATTATATTCATCAATAATTTCTTCCATTTTATTTAATAAATGTAATAGCATCATAATTCATGGATCAATTCGGTTTGTTTTCTTTTAGTAATTATTCAAATTATGTAGCATCTCAAATATGTATATTTTATTATTAAATTAATCAATGATTTTATATTCCTAGGAAACGAAAAAAATTATATAAGAATTAGTATAAGATTTTCATATACCCGCATTCGTGTAAGAACTCTTTAATTACCTAACCAAATTCTATCACCTGCAAGAGCGATTTTAACCTTCACCCGGGGTCTAGGTTAAGCTTCCTCCACCTGCAAACATGCTAATTAATTAATCTCTTAAAATAAACAAATAATATTAAAAGAGTAATGTAAAATAAAAAAAAAAATTCCTGTAATATTGGTTAAAATATTGGCTATATATAATATTTGTAATTTTAGTTTATATCCATTTTCAATATACTGTGTAATTAATCAATTGATTCTTATTGAAAAAAATGTAAGTTCTTAATAATGTTTGTTTGATCAAAAAACTTTGAAGTAAAAATATTTCAAGTTTGTGTATACAATTTTAAAATAGTTTGAAAGCCTTTTGGTGAATTTTATAATTTAAATTATATAAATTATATAAGCTAGGACATTATTGTAAATCCTTTGCTGAAGAGGAGCGGTAAAACATTATACTCATATGTTGTACGCGATCACATGAAATTTTGCATCACTATTATATGTAATTAATTTCAAATTTTCCATAGATCAGATGGCTGATTAACGTATTGATGTTAATTCATCTTTTTTTTCTTTTTTTAAATCAAAGGTCATATAACATGAAATTGCCCAATTTAGTATTATGACGTTGTACAAATTTATTTTTTCGGTATAAATAATATTTATTTTCGCTTCTTTTTTTGTTCATATTTTCTATTATTTTTACATATATTTGTAATAATTCATCAAATAACTCATTAGAATGGAAAGAATTTAAACTCAGTGATTATATAATTGAAAAATAAAAGATTTTTACTGGATATAACTGAAGAACAAGAATCGTTAATAGATGAAATAATATCAAATGAAGAATTAAAAACCTATTATATAAGGTATGGCTTATGAAAAATTATAGTTTGCGTATTAAGTTGTTTTCAACGAAATTTTAAAAGTTAGACTAGTGGAAATCATGAGGTTGATATGAATTACTAATTTGAAAAGCATAATTAAAAGCTAAAAATAGTTATCAAACGATAGAGTGGATTGAATATTATGAACTACAAATTTGAAAATGTTGAATATTTGGCAGTAGTACGATTTGAAACTGTTTTAAAGCAATTTGGAAAGATGAACCTATTTCGGGATGGTATTGTAACAATAATCAATGGGAAAGAAATAGTAGTGAACCCAAATTTTCCTCTAGAATGTTTATATAACTCAAAGCATCACAGCTCAAATTTTAATGAGGCAAGATATTTTTTCATTAATTTTATTTTATTATTAATATTGGTCTTTATAAATGTTAGCTTAGTTATTGATTTTCTTTTAAGGTTGAATTAAATAATGTAGCACGTGAAACTTATTTGAATTGGTAATTCATTATTTTTGAATTACTAAAGATCCAGTAATCAAAAATTTTATGATGGTAAGAACTAAGGTATATTTTTTAAATAATAATTTTATTTCACAGACTTGGAAACGAAAGTTGCGTAGTCTGCAAGGTATTGCAAATGATCTTAAAAAATATTCATAATTGTGGATTAATTCATCGTGATTTCATTATGGAAATATATTTAGCGATTTCTCATAATACCGATTTGGGATTATGTAAATCAGCCAATGTAAAGACTTCTCAAGATTGTAATTAAAAAGTATAGAGAGTATTACCTTGCACAGCACCTGAAGAGGAAACTAATATGCCTCAAGAAAATGATATTTATGGATTTGAAATTATTGCATATGAAATTTGTACAGCAATCATGATAAGAACACATGATGAATTCTTGGTCATAAAAATTTGTTGAGGATTAGTAAGAGTAGCATCTAATTATGAATACCTCAATTTAATTGGCTTGCATATATTTTCTGAGTATAAATAATGAAATCAAAAAGCAATTTATAGAAATAACTGAAATTAATAAAAACTATCATCATTTCTTTTGATTGTGCGATATAGGTGAACCACGTCAAAATGTCAATCAACACTTGGCGTCGACGCGCGTTAATTATCAACTGACGCAAATCGACATTTATGTCATGAGATGAGGATTTTACGTTTAGAAAAAAAAATTTTTAAACTCAAGGTCTGAGGCATATCATAACATTTTTATTGCTAATTGATCTATCAACTAATATGAATTTCGCATTGAAGCTTCCAATGATGATAATTCTCTTTTACTGAAGTAAACTACCATTCTTTTTTTTACAATTAGTTTAAATTTAAACTCGCCAATAGCAGGATTTCAGGATTAGACATGCTAGATACAGTATTTTTCGTTAATTATTTGAAGATCTTAATCTATTATATGCACTAATATTGCATTTGGTACAAAATAACAATTGAAAATTTTTGACTAAAATCTGAATTATGTCCATAATTTTTGTCTTTAAGAAAAGTTGTTGTGATTCACATATCATTTTGTTGGATCAAATCTTCTGGAGTAAAATAAGTTTTTCTGTTTTTTTTTGGACTTTCTATTTTATTAGTACAGCTACAAACCGAATATGTATTATCACAATGAAAGCAAAAGCACAGCTATAGCAAACGCTTTGCGAGTAATTTCGTGAACTTACTAAAACTTCATCCATTATTTTTTATTATTTGTGTAAAAATCTGTTTTGATGAATGCTTCACAACGTAATGAAGATGACTAATATGTCGTTGAATGACTAAAAGAAATAGGTTGTAGTTGGTTATGGACCTTAGTTGTTAATAAATCAACATAATTACATCTGGAATTGCATTAACATTTTTCTTCTAAGTATGATTTTTGAAAATATGAAATGATTCAAGTCAACTAACGATGTTGGCCAACATTTATTAATGAACTTTTTTTTTATTTTTGGGATTTACTTTGATGTTTCTTTCCAAGATATATATAAGACTATATACAACATGATATAAAAAAGTTAAATATTAATGTGTTAAACAAAAACAAATGTGTAATCTCCAATGTTAGATATCTCTTTATGATTATCATGTTATAACTTATAATGTTAAACTTTGAAAATGCGACTATAAAGTCAATATATATATATATATATATAAATGTAATCTATTACTTTGTTATGATTTTATAACATACATATAATTCATTCTGTTTAATTTATAAAAACTTTATTTAAAAGATTCAAATAATAATAAATATATTCCGATAGGATATACAAATTTGTAGTGATAAAGAAAATAAATAGTAAATAATAGATAAAATAAAGAAATTTATATTCTGAATATTTGTAAATTTTTCTTCCTTTTCTTTTTTCTTTAGTTGTTTTCATCTATAAGAACGAATTATTAAAGTAATTTGTTAATATTATTATTAGTAAAATTAATCATGTAGAAAGCAAGTTAATGTAAATGAGTACCTAGGTTGAGTTTAGTAAAATCTATTGCTTCTATAGATTCTAGAAAATGAAAAATAATTGTATATTAAAAGTATTTAAAAAATATTTTTGTAAAAATAAGTTGATATATTAATTACCTGAATATTCTCCAAATGAATTATCATCATCTTTGTTATCAGTAGCATTTTTTGGTTCTGGTAGATTTTTAAAGTTTAAAAGCCTACTCGTGTAAATTGCTTGAGGATTTGTAGTATATAAAAGAGTAGTACCATTATATGGTAATGAAGTAGAAGTAAACTTTTCATTAATTTTTTCTGCTTCTTTAACTTGCTTTTTGATTTCACTATCACCATTATTACGTAAATAACGTAATTCATCATATAAATTATATAATGAATTATGTAATTCATTTGCTTTAGGTCGTTTTAAAGGATCAGCATCCCAACATTGCTTAATTATGTCCAAAATTAGTTGAGGAATTTTATAATTGGATTTTGGCCTATTCCCTCGACAAATGCTAATAGCTAAGATTTTATCATGAGCAATATCATGATAAGGAGGAAGCCCTGTACAGACTTCATATGCAATAATTCCAAATGCATAAATATCACTTGCTTGAGTATATTCTCCTCCTCTTAAAACTTCAGGCGCTACATAAGGTAATACTCCATAAATTTTTTTTTCGTATTCATTTTGAGAAGATTTTACATTTGCTGGTTGGCATAATCCTAAATCAGTAATAATGGTCCAATAACCAGCTTTTAACATATTGCCACAATGAAAATCATGATGAATTAATCCTTTTTTATGAATAGAATTGAGACCACTTGCAATATCTTTTAGATAATCAAACTTATTTTCCCATTTTATTGAATTAAAGCTATTATTTAAATATTGTCTTAAACTACCTTCTTTTGCATATTCTATTACCATCATGAAATTATTAGATTCTGGATCTTTAGTAATGCCAAAACATTTAGTTACACTATTTGAAATAATCGTAGTATGTGATTCAATCTAAAAAAGAATCAAAAATAATAAATAATAGTAAGTTTAACATTTATAATGGAACAGTAGTTTGAAAAATGATATACAAATAAGTAACCTACTTCTCTTAAAAATTCGGATGTAATATCCTGAGAATTGTGTAAACATTTTAAAGCAACCGGAAATTTTTCATATTCCTCAACCCAATTTTTACTTCTCTCCCATTGATTATTTTCAGAATCCCATCTTCTTATATATCCATCTTTCCAAATTGCTTTATAAATAATTCCAAATCCTCCTTTGGCCAAATATTCAACATTTTCAAATCTATCATATTCAATCCACTCTAAAATTTCCTTAAATTCTTTAGCTTTAAGTTGTGTTTTTTGAATAAGCTTATCAACTTCATCATTTCCACTAGTCCAATTTTTGAAATTTTGTTGAAAATGTTTAGCATTGCATGACCTACACCAATCATATCTAGTTTTAGGTTGTTTACAATCTTTGCATAAACCATTCTCTTTATAACATTCTTTTAATTCTTCATTTAATATTAGCTTATCAATTAACAATTCTTGTTCATCTGTTAAGTTCCGATAATAAAAATCTTTTATTTGCTCAATTACATCATTACTGAGTTTAAATTCTTCCATGTCAGCTTTATGTTTAAACAGAGTAAAAAGATTTTTTTTTTTTAAAAAAAAAAAAAGCGGCCTTATATAACGTATTACAGTTTACAGTTGCACGGCAGTGATCGACAAATCTTATTTTAATTTGGGCGTTAAAAAATCAGCTGATGATCACAAAGTCAACGAATAAATCTCGGTAAGAAATTCTTTTTTTATAGATTCTGACAGAAATTTAGGAATACAGAAATATTTTGTAATACAAATTTCTCATCTAGTTCAAGTTTCAAAATTAATATTTTTATTATCACTTTTGTTATTTGTACAAATTACTGCTGTAAATAGACTTATAAGTAACTAATAACAATTGGATAACATAGAAATGGAAATAAATGGAAATCATATTCGGATAACATTAATGCCGAAGCGCTACATCAGATCATTGTTAAGCGGCCGTACGAATATTTAGCACATCATGCTTAATATAATGATATACGGAATATAAACCGAAATTTTTCTTTTAACATTTATTTAATTAATTATAAAATATTATATAATTTTAAATTTTTTTAAATTAAATAATTAAGATTGAATAAGTTAAGTTTTGAAATTTTGAAATAATTTTCTAATAAAATAATTCTATGACTAAACTGATTTTTTTCCTTTAAACCTTAATTTTTTTTCGGGTTTTAATTTTTTTTCCCCTTTATAACCTATATAGTAATAATATTTTTTTTTTCCAGTGATCTACGGTAAGCATCTTCTTTTCCTTAGTTATTTTTTTTATTAATATATTTTCTTTTTTCTAATTTTTTTTTTTTTCGTTCTTTTGCCTTTTAGGATTGGATGCGATGTAATAAAAATAAATAATCGATGATTTTTTAAATTATTATAGTGAGAAAGTCTAATAAAAAAAAATAATAATAAATTATTAAATATTTCTATATACTCGTATCTGTAGGATAACAAAATATTTTACTTTTATAATTCTATTGATAATTAAAAATTAGTTTTAATACGTTTTCCTATAAATAATATTTTATATTTTAATTATTTGATTTAAATGAAAAAAAATTAAATATTAATGTAATTTGATTAAAATGAAAGTAAAATAAAATAACATCGAACTAAATAAATATTTACCATTATTATCATGAGTTTCTACGTTTAAAAATTCTACATTTCTTCTTTTTTTTAAAGAGGTTGAAAAATTTTGAATTGAAGAACTTAAATTTTGTGATCTGAAACCAAGTAAAAATTATATGGTAAATTAAATACGAATTAGTTGTGTCATTTAAAATCATTTTTTATTATTATTATTTTAAATACCTTTCAGTGTTTATATCAAGATCTAATTCTGTTGAGATATATCTATAATCTTTAATTGTATAACTAGATGATTTTCTAAAGTTTTTTTTTGAAATACCTCGCTTACCAAATGAAATTGTTGATATGGATGAGAATTTAGAAATTAAAGAATTTAATGGCCTGCTTGTATAAATAGCTCCTGAATGACGTTTTTCAACAAATTCCGATCCAATCTTCTTTAATTTTATTAATTTCGCTCTTTTTGTTTCAGCTTGGCTAAATTCTTCCTCATTTATTTTTCTATATATCCACCTACCAAAAGTCAAACGAATATCTTTTATAGAAGGTCTTTTTTTAGGATCAGGGTCCCAACAACTTTTCATTAATTCAGCATAACATTCTGGTGTATCTTCTGTAATGTTAGGTCGTTCTCCATCAAGAATTTTATATACAAGATGATGATCATGTTCAACATTGACAAAAGGTTTACAACCTGTTGTAAGCTCCCACATAATCATACCCAAACTATAAATATCAGCTTCTTTAGAAAATATAGACCCTCTAAATATTTCCGGTGCAATATAAGGTATTACTCCATATATTTCATTATTTGATGATTCACTATTTACAGCTTGTGATAATCCTAGATCTCCAATTTTCCAATCATCATTTAACTTTCTATTAACTTTTGGATCAAATAATACGTTTCCACTATGAAAGTCTCGATGTATAAAATTTTTATTATGAATAGTTTCAAGTCTAAAAATATAAAAAAAAAATTAATAACTTAAATTTAAAGAAATTAATAAATATATAAAATATAAATACCCTATTGAAATTTGATGTAAAATACGTAATTTTTCTTTATTCCATGTAATACTTTTAAAATCCTTCTGCAAATGCTTATGTAAATCCCCTCCTGATGCATATTTCATAATTAATATATAATCATCTAATTTAGGATCTTTTGTAAAACCATAAGTTTCAATGACATGACATCTCTTTTTGTCTTTAAAACAATGATAACATGATTTTAACTATTTAAATTTAAAGATTAAAAATTAAATTAAAAATTTAGTTTATTTAAAATAAATTTTATAAGAAATATTTTAAAAAATATTTTACCTCATTTAAGAAATATTTGCTAATACTTTTAGAATTTTCAAATCTTTTTAAAATAACAGTTTCATTTTTATTATTGTTATTTGGCCAAGTTGCTTCATATATAATACCATATCCCCCCTTTGTTATTTTTTTCAAATCTTTTAATTGCGAATAAGGTATCCAATTAATTGGTTTTGCCCGTTTTTTTTCTTTAAATATAGACTCTAACATATTCTTTGGTACAAAACATTTATTAATGTTTTTTACAATATTTTCAAATTCAGATACTTTAAATAATTTAAATTATCACATAAGATTATTTTTAAAAAGAAAATCATCGAAAACACTATTCATGTGCGTCATTCTTTTGCATTTTTTACATTGAGATTGATCCGTAGGTCCAAAAAAAATGTTTGTTGTTAAACAATATCTGCATCCAACATAAAATATAAAGCAGTTCGCACAATACTTTTGACAGTCTGATGTAAATATTAACCTTGATTCACAAATATCACACCTAAAATCATTATGCCACCATGGTAAATAAAGAATTGAAATTTGCTTTTTAACCAAGGTTGATTCTATCAATTCGGAAGAAATTAGATAACAATCTGAACATAATTTAATGCATTGGGTTGCTACTTGATATAATAACTTTCCACATAATTTACAATTTTTCTCATTTTCAATCACCTTATTGCATAGTAGAGTGAAATCATTTTTATCAAGGCTAAAATCACTAATACTAAATCCATTTATTTGTTTAAAACATAAAATTATCACACAATTTCCACAGCATTCTTGAATATTCTGTGGTACTTTTGTCCCACTTATTACATGTTCACTACATTCCAAGTCCATTGTGTAAAAGTATACGTCCAAGTATACATTATTATCAGTTATATCACTAATATAACGTGATAGACATTTTTTGCAATATTTTTGCGAGGTAAAAAGCGCATTAATATATTTTTCGCCACAATAAGTACAATTTTCATCTAACACACTAAAAGAAATGAATTTAATTGGTATAGGACTAGATTTTAATCTTGGTGTTGGATCAAAAGAATTTTTATCATTTGTATTTACAATTTCCATTTTATTAAGTTAATTAATATATGTTATAAACAGACAATGAATTCGGAAAATTCGAATATACGTATTTTATTTATATCTGAATTATCAGGACTTTTGTTGGTTATACGGAAAGCATTTCTAAACTTTCTCATTGTAATCTTAAAGTACTACGGGACGGGAAAATCCGTTGAGAATTTATCATTTTATCAATAGCGAAGCGCAGTTAATACATTTGCCATTTTTACTTATCAGTTATTTAGTATGATCAATTAGTGGAAATATCTAGGCAATTGGCGTAGTTTCAGTATAGAAGATAATGATGGTAAGTACAAATTAGTATGAAAAGAAACGGAAAAAAAATGGAGCAATAATTTGTACAAAAGCGGAAAATAAGAAAAATCATTTCCTTCTTTTGCAAATAAAATAACGACAAATTGAGATGTATAATTACTTTTGTAGTATAATCATTCTTTTTAAGTATTTATAGAAAATCATAAATGTACCTTATTAATAATTTATTCATTGATCGTAGCACAATGATATTATTAATTTTGGACGCAGTGTTACATTTAATTTAACCGTTAATTTACTGCGGTTCGGAATTGACCTAGACCCAAAATGGCCAGTGATCTTCATTAGAATTAGGAAATGTGTAACCATATTCGGAGATAAAGGAAACTTCATCCAAACGACAGAAAGAAAAAGCCATAATTCAATGATAATATTAACAATGATCTTATTAATACGCCGATTTTTACGGTTCGTACATCGGGTATTTTTCACTTACCTTCCCCTTTGCATGAATAACTATACCCTTAATTAGGACAATAAAATGGTTTAAAAAGAACAATTCCGCCTATGACAGTATTTACAGACGGTGAAGATAAATAAGTTATTGTGTAAAGTTGATCAGAGTTCGTACTTCTTTGTTATTATTTTTTTCTAATACTCCTTCAAGAGTTATCTCAGCGGCGTAGTTTCACTGATAATAGCTATTTCTCTTTTTTTCTTTTCCTTTCACGAAGGGTGATCCCTTTACATGGGGAACACGTCTGTTAACTTACTTTAGTTAGTTTTTCTTTAAAATGTATTTTTTTACTTCTAGTAATTTTTCTATACAAAATTAGTCCACCTTTGAAGTATAAAATAAAGGAATTTATCATTATAGTATATTTAAGTAGAAATTATTATGCTACCATACAGTTTTGAACTAATTAAATTATTTTTGGGAATGGAAACTTTTAATTTCATTGGTTATTTAAGGTTATTTTAATAGTTTAGACGTATTTTTATTTTTTATAACTTAGAAATTCATTTCTTCCTTAAATTTTTTGTTTTATTATTAATTTTTATTTCGTCTTTTGAACTTGGGAAATATGTATTTTATCTACTATAAATAATAAAACTTACTTCTGCACTCCCTACAGTAGCTGTGAAAAAAAGTAATGAATTAATCCATTCTAAAAATTCTTAGAATATTACAAGTTTATTATGTTTAATTTCGAATGTTAAAATAAACACCCTACCATTCGTAAAAAAAAGATTAGTTTTTTATTTATCTTTTAATATGATATTTGATTTGTTTATCATAAAAGGATGTCACGATTGTCACGTAACAGAGATTTATATCCGATGATCAGATTAAATTATTTAATCTAACCATAATTCCCAATTTGGACGAAAAACTCTCGAATACTTTTAGTACAAACATCAAAATTTTTTTGGCTCAAAATTCAAACCACTTCTCTATTTATATCATTCTCTCTTATTTTGTAAGAAAAAAAAAATTTATCTCATAAAATTAATTTCTTGAAAATTCCCGATTCTTAACGTTTGAAATTTAGGATTATAAACGATAGACACCATAATCAATTTCTTTTCTATCTTTTTAAAAAAAAACTAATGTTTTTTGTCATTCTAAACTAAGGAATACCAACAATCGGTTAAGTTCAGTTTCGTTTTTAAAACCAAAACTGAACTGATGCAAAACTGACTTATAAAACTGACCAATAAAACTGAACACAAAACTAATCGTAAAACTGAATAAAGATAATATCAAAGAATATTGATTATAACTTTATATATCATGTCTTTTAATTACATAATTTTTCTTTTGCAATAATAATAATACCGATTATAGTGATGCGAAAATCATGTGATGAATGTGTAAAATTGAATTTTGACAATAATTTCAAAAATGAAAATACTATATATATAAAACTATAAAAATCATAATTTTTAAGTGTAAAAAAGAAAATTTTTTCAGAATATATTAAATATATACAATTAACCGATCAGATTTGTTGGCATCCCTATTCTAAACAACAAAAATAGCTAGCAAACAGTTTATTAACATTACATTATCAAAGAATTAATATAAAATTATATTGGTGGTAATGGATTATGCAAACAACGGTAATTTAGGAGGAAACTTAACAAGAATAATCAAAAGTGATCGGAATCAAAATTTATATATGTTATATGAAATTATTTCTGGACTTAATGACATACATAACCAAGATCTTATTCATTGTGATTTTCATGATGGTAATATTTTAAATCATGGGAATAAAATCCATTCCGAATAATAAAACAAATAGCAAATTATCAGTGTTAAAAAAAAAGAATCAAAAAAGAAAAATGTAGGGGTGAATAAGGGGATGGAAGGAAGATGGGTTAACTATCAATAAATCGTCTACTGGACAATAAAACATTATTGCTAATAGAAGCTTACTTGAATACTGTTTCCTAATTATTTATTGATTGTATAAAAAGGTTTCATTAATTTGTACCTAGGTGTGATTAAATTTAACTTACCAGCACTGAATTAATAATAGGCTAAAGGAATAAAGAAAGGTAAGAATTTGCTTTATTCATCTGTTAAACTAATGTTTTGAATAAATAACTATTATAGCTAAATTTCATTTAACAAGTCTAGATTAACGGGTTTAATGTCAGCGTAAAAATTTTAATCACTAAAAAAAAAAATACTCTTACGTTTTTAAAACGAATTTAACGAAATGACTATTCTATTATTACACTATTATTACTGTATATATGGTATAAAAAAAACCTATAAATATATTTCACGATATTATATACGTAGGAGTATTCATTATTGTATGATTTAACTATGATTTGACAACGTTTTTTCGTCTTTTTCCATAAATAATTTGATAAATAAGATTAATTTTCATATTTCACACCAGAAATATTTTAATGTACTGTATTTCAAAATAAAAATTATAAATAAATATAAAATCAATGAAGTAAACCAACTGTTTTTATTTGACTATTTAATATATACCGTACAATACAGTACTAAATAAGAAATAGATAAAAAAATCCCAAAAAATTCACAAACTTTAATCCAAAAATTAATACCATATATCTGAATTTACTCTCTACCCTAGTAAATAGAATATATTACAAAATATTCAATGAAAAATCAAGCTTAGTAAAACATTTGTAATTTTACATTATTTATTGGTAATTCAATACATTCTTTTACTAACATTTAAATTAGTTATCGATCAATGATAATGATTATAGTAACTTATAAACTGTAATGCAAATAGGAATGAGAAATAAAACAAATAAAAGGTAACATAGCATAAAAATGCAACTTACTTTGTAAAATCAGTAATCTCCATGGTATCATATTTTGAAAGATTCTTTGTATAAGGGTTAAGTAATCGAGAAGTATATATAGCTTGTGTTTGAGTAGTTAATTGGTTATTCTTAATTGATAAAAGATTTTCTTTTCTATATTCTTGTGTCTCATTAAATTGCTTTTCGATTTCATGGTATTGCTGTTCCTCTACTTCATATTCTTGATCTAATTAATGATAAAATTGATCAATCAATTCTTTTATTTCAATAGAATTTGGTCTGTTATCCGGACTTAAATCCCAACATCTTTTCATTAGATCAATATAACATTTTGGTATAATTTTTTCATTTATTTCAGGTCTAACCCCGTTACATATACTTTACACCATATATTCGAATAAATATCATTTCTTTTACCACATTTTTTACAATATTTTTTAAGATAATATTGGGAAAAAACCAAGATATAATCCTTTGTGTCTGGATTTTGAGATATGCCATAATATATCAATATTGTATTAATATAATCAATACAGATTATTTATACCTTATTGATAACTTCGTCAGTAATATCTTGTAAGTTACGCAGATATCTTAAACAAACTATTCCGCGTGATATTCTTATCCATTTTTCCTCGCTAGTGTTATAGTAAAATGGACCTTCCTTACATACTACTGTAGTCAAGCAATTATCTCCTATTTCTTTAACATTGATAAACTCATTATATGGTATCCATTCAAATACAGGATCATGAGGCTTGTTAATTTCTAATCGCATTTTTTGAATAAGGTCATTAATTTTATCATTTCCACTAGTCCGGTTTATAAAATTATTTCTTAAATAGTTTATATGACATGTTTTACACCATTTATCCCATTCACGTTCATATTTATTACCACATTTTTTACAATAAATTTTAATATATTTAGTTTCAAAAACCAAAATATAATCTTTTGTGTCCGAATTTTGAGATATTCCATAATTTTGATAATCATCGTTTGAATAATCATAGTTTGATGAAATATAATTTAATAAAGATGATTCAATCTAATAAAAAAAAAAAGAAATTAATATCATGTTAATATTCAAACTAAAATCAATAGAAAATTTAGTACCTCATATTGTGAATTATGTAGATATCTTAAACAAACTCTTTCATGTGGCGATTCTCTTATCCATTCTTTTTTACTAGTGTCATAATATAATGGACCATCCTTCCATATTGCTGTAGTCAGACAATTATCTCCTATTTCTTTAACATTGATTTACTCATTATATGGTATCCATTCAAATATAGCATCATTAAATTTATTAATTTTTAATTGCATTTTTTGAATGAAATCATCAATTTTTTCATTTCCACTAGTCCAGTTTGTAAAATTATTTTTTAAATGATTTATTTGACATGTTTTACACCATTCATTCCGTCTATTTTGTCTATTTTCGTATTTTTTACCACATTTTCCACAACATAGTTTAAAATATTCTTGGGAAAAAATCAAAATATAATCTTTTGTTTCTGGATTTTGAGATAATCCATAATTACTATCTAAAATACCTTCAAATAACAAACTATCATATGATTTGACCTACAAAAATACAAAAAAAAAAAAAATATTAACATATATGACAAAATTCTAATTAAATTTATAGATAAATCTCATACCTCATTTATAAATTCGTCAGAAATATTTTGAGAGTCATATAGAAATCTTAATGCAACCTTTTCATACGGTATTCTTATCCATTCATGTCTACAATAATGTAATAAACCTTCTTTCCATATTGCCGTGGCTAAACCGTTATTTCCTATTTCTCTAATATCGATAAGTTTAATGTATGGTATCCATTCAAACACTACGTCATATTTATCGTATTTTAATTGCTTTTCTTGAATGAGGTTATCAATTATTTTATTCCCACTACTCCAATTTGCAAAATTTTTTGCAATAATTTCCCTTCCACTGTTTAGGTTCAGAGAATTTTTTGTAAGAAATTCCATTGAAATGTTAAATTTTTTGAGAAAAAATAACTCCTCAATTTAAATGGCGTGAAAAGACGGTGCAATAAAACTAAATTTGGTTAACAAAGGGAATATGGCGTAAGCATAAATCTTTTATTGACAATCACGGTATCAATTTATCGATCATTCCAATTAACGTTAGATTATTTTTATTTAAGACGTCAAAAGTTTTTTTAGACAATAATCTAAATAATAAAATCTTTAGATTTTCTCATTTCTAACTCTATTAATACTGAAAATTCCCATGATTGCACATTTTCATATAATAATACTGTTCGAACTTTATTGGACCCCAATTGGCCATAAATATCCTCCGTTGAAATTACATGTGCATATCCAATCCTCTTGAAATAAGAAAAAAAATCTTATAATTTTAAGAAAGTGAATTATTATGGAATTAGTAGTTTTGAGTCCTAAATTTCATAATGAAACAATATAATAAATTATAATTAAGTAATTAAGTGGATACAAATAGACAAATGTATTAATTTACCTATATCAACAAGATAATTATTTTGCTCTAACTTTTTAGCAACCTTTAAGATGATAATCATCTAAATTGTACATTAGTTGGTATGATAGTTTTGATCGATTTAATACATTAAAAGAAAAAATTTGTACCAGCATCGAGACGGGATATAATTTGCCCGAATAAAGTTACAAAAGTAATATCATCAAACTAAATAGGTTCCTTAATAAGTTAGCTGCTTGATGTATAGTCAGTGAATTTATTAAGTATAAGGCGCAGTATTATATTTATTAGAAGTATATAAAAATATGAGAAATATTATTTGTTAAAAATCTCCTGGGTCACGAGATTAAAATGACTCATATGTAACGTTCCAAGTTACATAGTTCTATTTTTAATTTTCTTTATGGTTTTATAATTTTGGGAAATAATTGATTTTATCGTAGAGTAAAAATCAGACAATAACTTTTTCTTGTTGGGTAATCTGTTGTACTCTTTAAAATACTGTATTACAATTTTTTTTTTATATTTTTTAAAATAAAGTGAACCATAAACTCCCAGGTAAACGATCATCAAAACGTATACTCTTTTTTACATGAAAACTTTGCCCGCGAATTTAATATCTTAGATTTTGATTATTGGATTTAAGATAAGAATAATGAATCTATAACGCCCACTCCCCCTTCCCGTGAATATATATTTTTTCATAAATCATAAAAAAAAAAAAAATTTTTTTAACCCGTATTACGCAAAATTTCAGATGATGTGAAATAACAAATAAAAATAATAAATAAATCATGCTTCTGAAAAAAAATTTCCAAAATCGATATTATTGAAAAAAACTGAATTCAGTTTTTTTTTTTTTGAAAACATTCTAATGTTTAAATGAAAAAAACAAATATATTAAAATTTGGAATTCAATTTGCTCTCATAAAACTTGATTTAGCTGAAAATAAAAATAAAATTAAATAATAGGAAATTAAAGATCGAGATATTCTTTTTTTTTTTTGTATAAAGTACCGAATGTTTTAAAGTTTTGGAGCCACGTAATTTTCTATTTCGCCAATGATTAATTAAATCATGTCAATCCGTCAAATTTGCCGCACAATTACTGTTAAGTATATACTGTACAATACGAATAATTTTGGTCAAAGAATATTAAAATAATATTTATAACTAAAAATTTTAGAGAATAAAATAGATGATGTATTTATTTTATTTATTTTTCTTTGATCACGTCGCTACATTGTATAATAAAAATAAAAAATTTATATAAGGAAATTTGCTAAGATAATATAATAATAAAAGTACTGAAATCAAAAAAGAATTTATATAAGAAAATGGAATAATATATAACATAAAATTTTTTTGAACTATATACTAATTTAAAATTGAAAAAATTTATTCATCACGCGTGCGATGTCATCGCTACCTTTTATCACCCATGTCACTCTCCTTTATTTTGGTTGGTATTACATAATTTCGCCTAGAGGCGATGCAATAAATAAATTTACTTCTTAAAATTTATTCATCATCATCTTGCTTAAGATCTATTTTTTTTTTAAAAAAAAAATAATAATTAAATTAAATTAATAATTTCATATGTTTAATAAACAGATATCTTACCCAATTCATCTAATTCACAATCCAAACATTCAGAAACTATTAATAAAATGAAAATAAATATTATTATATAATAATCACGATAATCATTAATAATGCAAATATATACTTACTTGGATTTGCTGATGATGATGAAATAGTTTCTATTAAAAAAATAAAAAAATCAATAAAATATATTTTCATATTAATTTATAAAACGTATATTTACCTTGAACTGAAGATAAATAATCGGTTGAATTAACTGGTTCTGGAAGATTTTGAAAATTTAAAAGTCTGCTAGTATAAATTGCTTGTGGGTGTGTTTGAAGATTTTTAGATTTATTTTCATTTGTTCTGTTTTTTAATTTATTCTCTTTAATTTTTTCACATTCTTTTATTTGAGAATAAATTTCGTCACTTTCGTCATCAATGCCATCATAAAAATATTTATAAAATATTTGACGTAATTCTTTAGCAGTTGGTCTATTTTCTGCTTTAGCATCCCAACATTTAATAATCAAATCTACAATTAATTTTGGTGTATCTTCAGAAATTTTTGGTCTAAATCCTTTACATATTTTAACAACCAAAAAATGATCATGAGGAATATCATTATGAGGAATTTCTTCTGACATAAGTTCATTCATTATTATTCCAAATGAGTAAATATCTGATGCTTTTGTATATTGATATCCACGTAAAACTTCGGGTGCCATATATGGTATTACTCCATAAATTCCTTTTCGTTCATTATCATTTACTGGTTGACACATTCCCAAATCACTAATTGATAGTATTTCATCATCATTATATTGTAATATATTGCCCGAATGAAAATCTTTATGAATATTTCCAGCATCATGAATACCTGATAGTCCATCTATAATATAAAATAAATAATCTATTTTGGTTTTATAATCTGAACCTTTCGTTAAAATATTTCTCAAATTTCCACCCTCACAATATTTTAAAACCATCATATAATCTTTAGTATTTGGATCTTGAGTTATTCCAAAACACATAACAGTAATAGAAAAATGAAAATGACCTGAAATATAATATTTAATCTAAATTCATTAAAAAGAGAAATTTTGTTAATAAATTACGTATTAAAATACAAATATTAATAAGCAATATTTATTTTAATTACCTCATTAAAAAAATCATTACTTATATTATTAGATGAATTATTTAAACTTTTCAATGCAACTTTTCTTGAAGTTCGGATCCATTCTTGATTTTCAATATCCCAATGCCCAATTTTTCCTTCGGGCCAGTCAGCCGAATAAATTTTACTAAAACCACCTCTAGTAAGATAGGTAACATTTTCAAATTTTTCAAAAGGTATCCATTCAAGACATTTTGTGCAAAAAAAAGCATTAAGTTGTGATTGTTGTATAAATTCATCAATATTATTATTTCCACTAGTCCAATTGTTAAAATTTTCCTTTAATCTTTTAGCATTACAAGGTTGGCACCAATATAATCCTGTACCTGGTTCATTACATTCTCCACATACTCCGTATGCTTCTTTTCTTTTTTCTAAATCCATAATATTTACTCTTTTAAGAATGGAACCAGTTTCATCTGATTCAGTAGTTGAATCAGTTGAAAAAATTGTAGCGTGGAGCTATCAAAATGAAAGATTAAAAAATTTTAATAAATATCTATATTGTTTATTATATTATAATATTTTTACCTGATATTCACCATCGCATTCTTTCCATAAATTTTTAACATCAGTTTTAGTTGTATCTGAATTTTGTTTTGAAGTATCCATTTTATTAATATTTTCTAAGTAAAAATATAACACTTACTTATAATTTAGTGAAAATACTCAATTGAAAAAAAAATTATTTTTCAAAAAAAATGTAAAAAAAAAAAAAAAAATCGAATGTTACGTTAAAATCTAATTTGTCATTAAATGCAGATCTTCCCTAATTGATATTACATAATGACCTTAATTTAGAATTTTTGTGTTAATGTTATGACCTCATGACTAAGGGTTTCTTCATTTAAAATAAGATTCGGATTTTAAAGTTTCAGAAAAAAAAAAAATTTTTTATCTGGTTTATTTTAATTTTCCTTTTATAATAATACAAATAAACATATCTGATATGTAAATGATGAAATTTTCCTTTTTTAGGTAGAACTTATATCCTGATAAAATTAACTTTTTTACTTCATTGATAAAAAAAAAATATATTTAATAGTGTAATATACCTTAATGGCTTAATCTTTTGATACTGTAAGCAGTGATAACTATTTTTTATTTCTTGTGTTTGGAGAAAAATGAAAAATTAATTACAGCGGTTTTCAAAATTATGCCGATCATGTGTTGATCAATTCTAAGCCACATCAACTTCGTTTCTTACAATAAAATTTTAATATTTTTTTTGTCAAATTTATTTTGATATTTGGATAAATAGACACTTTATTAGACATATTTAATAAGTGCACAAAGTTTTTATCCGTTATTATATCCTTTAAGAGTTTAAATCTCAACTTTTTTTAAAGTTTTTAAGGTTCACAATAAATCATAAAATCATAAATAGGAATCATAGTGAAATTTTCAAAAGTTTGCTCTTTTTCCTATTTTAGAAGTGATATAATGGATATTTGAAAATGTTTACTGCATATTCTAAAAATAATTATTGAGTTAGGATAAGTCTCATTGTATAAAATAATAGCAGATGATAGTGTATAATTAATTAATTATGAGTTTATTTATTTTGTTAGTTGTGAAATTGTCTAGAAATTAGTACATTTTTTATTAGCGTTAGATATTGTATGACAAACTTTTGGGAAACTAATGAAAACCATGTTAAATAACTTAGGTAACTAATTAATTGATATAAGTTAATCGTATTTTATATTAAGAAATTTTTACTTATCACTTCTTTTTGTCTCCTATCAATCCTTTTCGTCTCCCATCACTCCTCTTTATCTTCTCATCATTTCTTTTCATCTCCCATCATTTGAAAAAAAAAAAAAATTCTAAAAAATGGTTTCATTTGAAAATATTTGTCATTTGAAAAAAGA